AGAGTAAAATTGAAAAACAATCAAAGTATTAAATTTAATAAAGAGTATGGTAAATCAAGTATTTAACCTGCTTCAGTAGATCGTTGCTCAAGCATTTCTAGCTTTTGATTTGATTCTTTTTCTAGAATCTCTTCATTCAGCTGAATTCCTAGAATCTTCTTATTCACCTCTTGCATTTCATTAGGTCCTTCAGAATCTTTGCATATAATAATTTCTTCACCAAATTCAATGTTCCGTAAGACAATTCCATTGCGAACATTAGCTTCAGGCATTTTAGCTACTTTACACAATGATTGCCATTTTGCTGGTATCTAAAATATCTATTATTCATAATTATCAAATTTAAAGTTAGAAAAAATATTAATTTCGATTTTGTGCAATACTAACCAGGCAAAGAGATATGATCAACTTTGTAGTGACAAATAAAAGCAATAATTTAAAAAAATTACACAGAATTCTTCGCCAGTATTGAAACCATCAGGTGCAGAGCAAAAAACAACGTGAAAATAACATCCGGCGCGTGAAAAATATAGCAGTAAAACATTATTGCAAAGTTCCTTTGTTGATAAGATCTCTTTTATCACTGCAAAATTTGAACTGATAAAGCAGCAAAGTACCGTAAAACTTGTTTGTTTTCATGTAATCATATAATTACAAAAGCTATAGGACTACACTTTCATGTCAATTTTATCACAACTAAAATTAACTCAACTCACGAAAGTATTCGCAAATTTTTAAATGAAAAATATAGACAGTGAATACACACGTAACTAAGTGTATTAATTGTATGAAACACATGATTTTACGTTTAATTTTTTGATGACATTCACTTCATATTTCTGCTGAATATATAATTAGTATATGCACTCGTAATTAAGCATAGAAAAGAATCAAACGCATTAAATGCATAATATGCACTTAATTTTTTGAATAACTTTCAGATCACATTACTCAAAAGTAACTGATTAGGCAATTCAAATACCACGAAAACAATTCAAGTTTGAATTTAATTTGTATTAAGTTTTTACACGTGTAAAAATTTACATTATTTTATAGAAAATCTATACACATACAATTAATTCAAATAAAATATTAGCACAAATACAAATGCATATAATACTTGTAAACTATAAAATACTTATATACATATATGCATATAATACTTGTAAAATACTTGGAAATTACTTTCGAATTTGCAGTATGTGGAATAAGTAATCTTTATAATAATTGTATAAAATAATATTTTTGAAATTTTCATGAAATTTCTATCAGTTAATTATTTTCTATTTTATATAAAAGAAAATTTTTATACAAAACTTCTACCGTCGTTATTAGTAGTCGGTTGCAGTCGAAGAGTAATTGTTTCTAACCTATCACCACGTAATAATGTAACTGGAAAAGATGCTAATGATGATGATGGTAAGGATAACGATTTCTGAATAAAGGGTAATGATTGTAAAGATGTTGGTGTTGCTGTTGGTAGTGGTGGTAGTGATGGCATTGTCATTAATGGTTGATTAGGTAAAAATATTGGTGGTAATGGTAGTAAAGGTATACTTTTTGGTATGATTCGATTATTAAACCAAGCAGGTGTTGTTGTTTGCGAAGGAATTGATGATAATAACGTCTGATATTGTGGTGCACAATGCTGATACCATAGTGGTACCATATTATTAATAGTAATATTAGAAGAATTAGACATTATAGTACATACCAGTTCAGAGCAAAGAAAAACTTAGAATAACCAACTTAGTTGCTATGAAAAGTACCGTAAGGTTGTTGAAGTTATTTAAGACTAGACTCCCTCTCTCAATTTCTATCTTTTAATCTCTTTTTCTCTGTTTCTCGTTGGCATTCTAGAAGAGATTAGAGTTTGCTAGGCCTATTCCAAAGAAAAATTAAGGTCAGCCAAGCTTCGCCCAAAAAGGATTAAGGCTAGCTAGTCATATTCCAGTCTAAAACAAGAAGACCAAACTCAATTTATCATCTAAAGCCAAGCAATTTCACATCCTCTTCACTACTAATAAGGTTTACTACAGTAACTTCAATTAAATGAATATTTAAAAAAAGGAGAGTAGGAGAGAGTAAATGACCAGTAATTAGTATTGAGGTCAAATCAAATTATGTAGATCAAATTATAGAATTTGAATTTTGATATAATTAAGGCTTATTATAGCCAGATAAAAGTAAGATACAGGCCTTAGTTATCTCTGAGTGGAAGTAGGAAAGGCTTAATTTTCTTTACTGAGCTATGTTTAAAAAAATAAGCCTAAGCTTTATCTAGGCTTGTTACAAAATAGAATCAACCCACTTCTCTTCTCTAGAATCACTTACTTTTCATGCATAGTCTTACAAGTATGCAGAGCTAAAGCTAAGTAAACCCATCAAGGCCAAATGTCAATTGAGAAAATGTAATTAACTATCCCAGGATTAGTTCTAGGCTCTCAGCCCTCTTTCATTCTTATCCACTTATAAATATAATACAATAAGGTTACAATATGCTCAAATTTACTTCCTTAATTACCCTTTTATTCTGATTAATTTTCTTTTGGTAGTAATGTACACAAACATACATATATTGCTTACTTTGCACATTTATATTTAGCAACTCATATTAAGTATTGATAGCCAGCTTAGCTTGAATTATGATGTATCATTTAAGTGCGAAAATATTATAAGCTGATTTTTTTGGATATACATATTTTTAAATCTCTTAATATTCATACATATTTATATGCTAATTGCACTACAAGTAAAAATTCAACTTATTAAGCAGTAAGTTTAAAGTTGAAGAGATTATTCAAATTAGATATACTCAATTACTGTAACTTTCTTTATTCATTCCTTGCTATATTATGCATGTTTCTGCACAGTTTCTGGAATCTTTCCCAGTACCATATAAGTGATAAATTTGAATAGTACTGAAAAGTAAACTGATATTGATGTGTAAATATTTGCAAAATTCAAAAACTTTATTACTAGTTTATTAAAAATTGATGAATTCTATTGAATACGTCAACAGTAATGTTACTCAAGTTAATTACGACTAATATGACAATTAAATAGTAGTTTATGATTTTTAAAAAAGTTATCATTGTTTGCTACTGAATTTATGTTTTATTTTTGTATAATAAAACGAAAAAAGTATTCTTTTGAATCTCCGCGTTTTTTGCAATTATTGCGCATTTTATTTTTGTTTTACTTTTTCGTGATATTGAAAATTACGTAAGTTAAATTTGTTTTATATTCTTTTTTAAAAATTTTAAATTTTCGAATTGTTTTAAACAATACTAAAATGATTTGGCTATAAACTAGCAATGTTTTTATCAAAAAAATATATATTTATTTTCAAATAGCAATAATCAAAATAGTATGCATCCTTTTTTTTTAAATAAAAAATTAATTTTGTTTGATAGCATTTATCAATATGAGAATACTGACAACTACTGCTGTATTCATATTAATAGATTAACTGAATTGAAACTATTGCGATCATGAGGTCAACATCTAAAAATAATTAAGATAATTGAAAGTGTTGTGATCAAGAGGTTAATATCTGAAAATGATTAAGATAATTAAAACTGTTGTGATCAAGAGGTCAATATTTAAATTGAACTCACATTTAATTGAATTTATCAAATAATCAAAATTCACCTTATTTTTTTGATCGTTTGCTATAAATATTTGTAATGTGACAAATCCAATTACTGTATAAATAACTGTGAGAATAACATCGATAATCCTAATAATAATCCAAGAAGCATATGCAAGCAAAAGCTGTCAAAACTTGGGGCTA